AACCCAGAAGACATAAATCTTCATACTCATCGCTGTGAAAACCTCAGATCCTACACAGTTGTAAGGTGCTATCCCGGCATTTGCATGTAGGGACTGAGGAAAACCATAAAGTGCCTGTGTCAAAATTACCGGTTTCTGATCCCCCCGGGGCCATTCCTCAATAAAGAACGCCTTGTGAGACTATGGAACATGTTGTAACGCACATGGGATAACAATTATCTCTGAAAAACTTATAAAAATAATTCCAGTGCCGTTTAATTACTTTTAATTAGCAATTAGTTTTTACAAAGTGCGTATCCACAACATAAAAAAATACGTTGTGATCCTCTGGAGAAAGGGAATAATTGTTTACCCTGCACATATGAGGGAATTATTTTATTGCTCGGAAACTACGTAAGGTGTGACTCCTGTATTGGATTTGTATTATAGTGCATTATGAAGACTCCACAATTTCTTGTATGCAGTAGTTTATTTCATATTCTCCCCTCGTAACTTATCTAAGGTTTTCTTTTATCGGTGAATCAAAGAATCTGTAAATTGGTTGCTTGAGATTGTTACACGGATTTTGGGTGACAGAAACTGCCGGCAGCTTATAAGTGAGCAATCGACCCCATTTGTAACATAAGTACTTCTATTAAGCGATCCATTATTTTATTTGTATTTTATATGCGTTGTTTCCACAGAGGCCACAAAGTGAATGAATAATGAGGAGTGTCTTTCCACGTATATTATCTCCAACCCTGGTAGATTTGTATTCGTTAATAATTGTCATAATATTTCAGTTTTTCTTTCTGGACCTAGTGACACGGTATTTGCGTACAATGACTGAGGAACGTCGAATGGTATTATTACAAATTTTGAATCTTGATGAGGATGGGAGCGGTAGTGCCCATGTAAGCTGCTGTCGCGGTACTTGCTTGGAGGAACTGAGGAAAATCTCGAAACTCGGGCTAGTGATTCGAACTGCATACCTCCGGACGCGTCATCGTTCCAACCTGCCCTCTGTTGCAGCTTTTGGACAGTTGTGTTTCAAGTTCACCTGACCTGGTCTGTACCACATGATCCCACACTGCAGAGAAGGAAAAGATGGGTTGGGCTGCGTTGGTTAGGTTAAGAGGTATTGAGCTGGTGCCCACTGCCTTTGTGAGGTATGTGATAAGCTTGTGTGGTCAAAGCTGACCTTTCTCGAGAGTTCGGCTCTTTCCTTGTTTCTCTACCATTTGTTTTCTGTCTTGTTCTATCATCAGATTCTCGAATTAAGGATTTTTTTGTACCGTAAAAAGTAAAAGAGAAACTAAATATGCCTGTAGAGTTGAGGTTTTCACGGAGGTGAGTTCTGTGACAGCTGCCTTGTGGGTTGTAGCGCCGTGTAGTCTGGTAGAAGTTTTCCAGCGTGTCAGATGTCCTTGCTGCCTCCATCATCAGGGCGACTACACGGCGCTACAACCGTCTTCTAAATATACCTGTTACTGTGGTGCGTTTATGTCATTGGTCAGATGGTCTTGCTTTCTCTATGTTGTGGCTGTATTTATGGAGGGAGGTCGAGGGTTCAAGCTCCCCTCCCTATATTATGTTTGGGGCGAAAACTGCAGGCCTTACCTGCTTTAATCTGAAGTTGCTAGTAGTGCCGAATACCACGAGAAAATGTGATTGATCAGTCAGTAGATTAACTGGCTACGGATTGGGAGACTGGGATTCGATTTCCGGCAGCGACAGGAATTTTTCTTCTGGCAAGCTCTGTAGCCTACGTAGCTACTTGTGCAATTGGCCGGAGATGAATCCGTTCTCTCGCCTGCATTTAGTGGCGGGATCTAGATTGTATTGAGATTTTCCTCCTCGCTCTACACCTGACCTCATTACGTCTCTGTTGCTAGACAGAAGTTACGTATTTTGAAACGAAGTGGTGGTATTAATTACAATATCGAGATTCAGCGTGTTTCATTGTTATGAACATCGTTATTTCTGTGTGATTTCAAAGAAGGCTGTTAATTAGTAGATCAAGGAAGAGATGTTTATTATTTACTCCGGAGCTGGGCCGAGTCTTAACAGTCCGAATCCACGAATTATGTTGGTCAGCTTCAACTGCGTCTTTCCCTTCCGTGGTAAACACTTGTAGTTTCTGAGGCGCAAATTGAGATTGATGTCCCTGTTCTCTGTAACCCAGTGTCGTAAAATACCTGCCTATGAGGAGTATTCTCAAGGCTACGCTTTCGTGTGGTTGTACGTTTTATAACTCCTTGAAGTATGCCAAGTATTTGTCTCCCAAACTCTTAGCTTGTGATGCATTCTTCCGTCTTTTCATAACTTATGCAGTTGATCCAAGGCCATTGACAAACACGCGACCCGAAATGTTCCTCGCTTTCTTTCTGTAATGGAGTGAACCAGAACCAGGGCGAGCACTCCCGGGCGTGCAACATGCAACACAGATTGGGTTTTAATAAACTGAGCGAAGTTCATATGAATAGGTCTGCCTTGTTTTTAATTAGCTATGTTTATTAATTCGTAGGTTGCTTAGCCCTTTGTAGAATCGTTTAAATTCGCTCTGTCCGCATGCTGTTAGACAAGTGATTTAAGTGTTCTTTTATAAAACTCTGTTTCAGTACGTTAGACGTGACTGGCGTCGCTCAGTCAGCATGGTGACTACGTTACGGGTTGGATGACCGCGGTTTGATTCCCTGGAGAGGCAGAGCCACCGAACTCAGATAGATTCGGGCTCTCCCATCCTCCTGCCCATCGGATACCGAGAAATCTTTTCCTAGGGGTAAAGCGGACTGGTCGTGAAGCTACCACTCACTGTCATCTGCTGCCGAGTTTAAGAATGCGTGAGGTTGTTCCTCCACTTCTTCACTTTGCCTAAAAGTGTTCACGCTTCGTTTAGAAATATAATAATTGGCTCTGTGTGTGTCTTATTCACAGATTATGCCGTGGACATTTTGTATGCACCTTATAACAGTTATTATTTCTCTACCTTTCGTTCTTCTGGGAGAAACGAGACATTGTGTAGACCTCCCTTGTGGGAACTTATGACCTATGGGAAATTAGCATATCGCTTCCTGTCTCAGCTGTCAGTGCCAAATGCAGTCACCAGAAATCTTGATTGGTCCGCCTTGTCAGTGTTTATTATGAAACGTCGAGCGTATTTGTTGTACGAAATAGCCCACGAGGTGTGTTTATTCTGGTCTGCTTAACACATCCGCAGAAGTTGCCGCCTTATTAAGGCTGTCTTTGTATTCGTGGAGTTGTTTCATCCAGTGAGAGTTCCGCTTTGTACGAACGTCCACTAAGTATTTGCCGTTTCTGTACCTCCCTTGTTTCACGTCAGTTTAGCCCTCGGCGTTTTACGTTTTACGTGGTCTGTCTAACGCGGCGACTTTCAGGGACTGCGTTCAATCCGTGGAGCCTGCAGTAGCGGGCGGGGGTTAGCCGCCGGACTGCGGCGCTGCGAGCGGTGAAGCGCTGACGTGTCTGGAGTGGTCTGCCGAAACCTAGCATACTCTAACAGAACTCGAATGGGTCTGTTATGATGATGATAACAAGAACGAGGTCGTGTGGCCTTCATGCATATTGCTGACCGAAGATGAATATAATGTTTTGCAGCTTCTTGAACGCACAGTAATTACTTAGGTGAATATTTAACACCGAAACGTATGTATCCTATGCAGGCCTTTAAGTCAGAAAATTGTATTGCGTTTCTAACTGTATAAGAGAGGAAAATTAAAGATACGCGAATACTGTGTTGGATATTTTGAAAGTTGTCTCCGCTGCCGACTTCAGGTGGTTGGTTACAATGCTGACATTTGTGTGTAACTGGTTTTTTTTCTTCTTCCTGTTCGTGACAATGGTACTGGGTTCGATACCACCCGCTTTCGTGCAGCTGCCCCTTTCTCCTTTCTAGAAGAAGCGTAGCTCAGAGGAACATGGGGCTGGCTTGTCTTCAGGGAATATTACGTGGAGGAGTATAAGCTGAACGTTAGATAGGAGGTTCGGATGGTGGGTTCAGGGAAAGGGTCCCACGTTGCAGTGCAGAGATATAACACTTCGTCCAGGCGATTCACACAGTACTTTGTTTCTGCAGTCGGTAGCCACTCTTCACCGATACCAACATAATAATCCGTTTGTGTGTCTCCTTACCGGAATCCAAGACTAGAGTCCCCGGTGTTCTCAGCGTCGCCGGACTTTCTCTTTTCCTAATTTTGGAGTTCGTTTCTTTAGAATTTGAACAAATACCCTGATTGGTCACAACAGCCCTCACTCCACGTGGACTTCGGACCTTCCAGCACATTTGTTTCAACCTTTAGCTCTCACCGCTATGGCGAGTACAATTGTATAGAACGACAAGGTACCTGTTTTAAATTATTGTACAGTTGGGCTGCTGCTGGCACCTTGGCGCCAGTACTTCCGGCTTAAGACATTCACAAACAGTCCCGTTCAAAATCGCAGTTTACCTTCACACCTTAGCAGCCCGCTGGGGCTCGAACCCAGAAACGCGCTGTCACAGATGATAAGAATAATAAATATATAAAAATCTTGTTCAGTGTAATGACCACCAATCACCTGAAAACAAAGTAGAGCCAATTTCCGAAACGTCGTATACGTCCAGTATACCTCGGACAAGAGTCAATCCCCCATCATGTTATTCCTAATGTGTCAGCCGTTGCCACAAACCTTTATAAAACAGGAACTTGTGTTCCTGTCCTAACTGAAGATTCATAATCGCAAATAAGCCCGCTATTAGACACTGCAGACATTTCCACCCTTTTTCTTGGTCACGGTTGTGTTCGAGTTCCAGGAGAATGCAGAATTAGTCTAGTCCATTGAAATTGACCATGGTGACTTCCTAATCCTTATTTACTGATAATTCATATTCATATTTTCATCTCATTCGACGTCATATATCCTCTGCAGCTGAATTAGCGTCGTTTAATAATCTTTCACGCCTTTGCCATGTGCTTTCCTTTTTGTGAAGTGTTCTTCTACATTTTGTTTTCTCTTGGTTCCAGACGGAGATCGCCAAAAGACTGAATGCCATAATCGCTCAGGTGCTACCGTTCCTAGCCCAAGAGGTAAGCTAAATGACGCCCTTAAGCTGTTTAACTGAAAAACGCGTTAGCTGGGGTGTAAAGTTTCTTTCTCCAATGTGTGTAACATACGATGTTGTAACGCAGCTGGACACGATGTCGCCTGACCTTCATATAGTTTAGTAATTGATTCTTTATTTATTAAACGACATTGCTTCAGCTGTAATATTTAAACACCATCGAATTGAGATGGGATGATGGCGGTGAAAGATGAATACGTACAAGGATTTAGAAGAGGGCGGTCTTGACAAGATCAAAAGTAGTATTCAGGTATTCGTCAGGAGAATATGAGGATGGCGGTGAGTATGCAGATTTGTCTTCTGGGTTGTTGCGCCGTGTAGTCTGGTAGATGTTTACCAACGATGAGTCGCCCTAATGACGGAGGCAGTATGACCTCTGAAACGTTGGTAAACATCGACCTTACTACACAGCGCAACAACCCAGAAGACAAATCTTCATGAGGATACGTGTTTTTGCGAGATGTTCCGTCATCTAAAAGATACATTTTTAGCCTCTGCTCGTTTATTAGGCCTACCTACCAATCAGAAACCCGTCATTGCAAGCACGATTGCTGCCTGCTGCATTATTTTTAGTAAAGTAATTTTATTTTATTTAAAGGGGGAAGTAACTGAAGACTGAAGAAGACTGCGTAATGAGCAACTCCGTAATTATCCTCTTTAGCTAATAGTCTGTTGATTCATCTAAACAAGGAAGATGTCATGGGCGAGATATGTATCCTGACACGGAGGATATAAGAAATGTGTACTAAGTTTTTCTCGGGAAACCTGAGGATAAGACTCCTTTTGGAAGACTTAGGTAATGAGGATGGATATTAAACAACTAGGATGAGTGTATGTCGGTTGGATTTATTTGGCTCTGAGTAGGTTCCAGCGGCGGAATCTTGTGAACACGACAGTGAACTTCGGGACCCATAAAAGGTAGGGGAATTTTTATAGATATATACGTAATTTAACAGTTGGATCTATTTTTCGTTGTGAATGTGACTGTAGTGAAACAGTAAAATGGTTTCTTGTGCGTGATAATGGATAAATAATTAATAAACGGTCGCATAATTTTATAACTCGGCAAATTAACCGATTATAAGACGACTTTTGTTTAATTCTCTATAATAATATTGCCTCTATTTTGAGCAGGAAATGTCTCTGGCTCAGTTGTGACTACCGACGAGATAAATATTTTACGTTACTTACATTGTCGTATCAGGCATTTTGTTTTCGATGTGATAATCGTCAGTGACTTAAATTCGGCTTCTTAAATTGACGTAAACGAGCTCGTCTGTCTGTGCTTTGTTAGTTTTGCTTGCATGTTGGTTTATCGCAATTTATATTTGTCTGAAAATAGGTGTGCTTGTCAGAGCGGGGCAGAGCAGCGCCTGTCGCTGGAATACACAGTATTGACACCAGTTTTAATTGTATGGTCGCCAGTGTAGGCACTGGTAGTCCTTCTCTTGTTGAATTGTTTAATCTCCATTTTGCAACAAGGGACGTTTTAAACGCTTCTGGCCACGTAAACTGAACTATCGATTTGCTTCCCTCTCGCTGTTACGTATTAAGCCTGTAGATTTACACCGTATCAGGGCCATAACTTTTTTGTGGTGCAGTCTCAGTTTGCTGTTCTAGACAGTTTCATCGTTCCTGCTTTGTAATGGAAACTGCGTCTGTGTCCATGTACTTGTGCGGTTCGCTGTTAGGCTGTATACAAAGCGATTTCTCAGACACCCCGAGAACTATACACAGTTTAAAGATAGTTGCCTTCTGGATTTTTGCGTCATGTAGTCTGGTAGAAGTTTACTAGCGTTTCGGAGGTTCTTGTTGCCTCCATCATTAGGGCGATGAGTGAGATGATGGAAGCAGGATAAACCTCCGCAACGTCGGTAAACTACAAGATTACACGAAGCAGCAGTTCAGAAGACAGTATCTTTATGTATTTTTCGTTTAAAACAAATGCCACCTTATCAGAAGCTTTTTATTTTAAATAAAGTCTCACAGAAATGTCCAGTATTTTGCGTTGAATGAGTATTGTTGCTCCTACCTCAAAAGCTAGGTAAGTACTGTGTTTCTGAGGCCCATAGCTCTGAATACATTCCCTACTATAGACCTTAAAATATTTGTTCTTATAACTATAATTCTACTCCCCCTTTCAAACGTCCAGTTATATGCTGCTAATTGTACTCAGCTTTCTGTCTTCTGGGTTGTTGCGCCGTATAGTCTGGTCGATGCTAACCAACGTTTCAGAGGTCATACTGCCTCCGTCATCAGGGCGATTCACCTCTGAAACGTTGGTAAACATCGACCATACTACACAGCGCAACAACCCAGAAGACAGAAATCTGAATACTCACCGCTGTGAAAACCTCAAATCTTACATAATTGTATTCTGTTTTCAAATCTTATTTATAGACATTTTCTAGTTTTTTCTTAATTCTTCAAGGTTAGTACAATTATTTTCCAGTAAACTTAATTTTTATTGATATCAAATTGTTTCGTCCGCTTCTTCGTTTCAGAACATTTTAATATTTTAACATCTTCCGCACATTTTTATACAAGGCAGTTACTTGTATTCTCCTTATGCATGCTTCATTTACCACCCATACTTTATTTCATTAACCTGGCAATACTTTGTGAAAAGTACAAGATAAGAAGTCCAGTGGAAGAGGGTGACTTTTTCCAAAGTATTAACCAAATCCCGAAGCGAGGGTGGGAGGTCGGGACATTTTTGCGTTTGGGTATATACATCGTACTTGTTCCATGATGCACAATCACGTCAAAACAAAGGTTATACAATTAAAATCGTGAGAAATGTGATACAGCGTGTTACGTCAAAGTGCGCGCAATTAGCATGTTAACAATCCCGATTTTTGATACCCTTTTCCAATAATTAAGACTACGCCATGCCATCTTTCTTGGATATCGTAGACTCTACGTGAGCATAGTCGCTTTATGCCATTGTCGACCATCGTTTTAGTAATCAGAATTTGTGCAGGGAGACCCCGTTACACGATCAGTATTTCTTTGTTCCAGCACCAGCAGCAGGTGGCCACGGCTGTGGAGAGAGCGAAGCAAGTTACTATGACTGAACTGAACGCTATCATAGGGGTAAGCATCATACCTACTTGTACAAGTACTTAGGCCATTAACTCACAAATGCATATTTATAAGTAGTGTGTTGTATAAGATCAGTTTCTATTCACGCCCGCCAGAGGGTGTTCGGTGACAGCAGTCAGTAATGAAATGTTGGAATTAATCATTTAAAGTTTTGTACGGAGATAAAAAATTTTGAATGGAATGTGCGTAAAATGTTTAAAATTATGAACATGGCGGCGGCGCGTAAATTTGTGGACCTGACAGTCTGGATGTTTGCACGAAATTGTTCACAGACAAGGATCGATGCATGTCTTACAGCCTCATGTACTGATTTGAGCATTTTATGGGCCTGTATATTCCTCGAACTTCTTGTGATGAAAACCTCCTTCCATTTGTTTGCTTTCTTCCATTCCACAGTTTTGCTGGTAAGCCAATACAGAAGGCGATGTGCTTCCTCTGGCTTGCAGTTTACTCGAGGCCCAGTCCTTAATCCTTTTAGTGCAGGACGGTGTGGACAGACGTAGTAGAATAGGATGCTGGACTTCGGTGGTTGGGGGCGTGGTAAGGCTGGCAGCTTCTCTGTTTCGGCCTTGGGAATTAAAGATTTAAAGTAGAAGTTGGGAGTAGTCATTGAGGCAACGGGCAATTAAGAGACATAAAAAGGGAAAGGTGTACCACAAATGATCTCGTGTTTTCACGTGGCCGATGAGACGTAATTACTAGATGGAACGATGTTGCTTTGAAGGAAAAATTCTTGTTAACGAAGACACGTTTCACAAATCCGCCACATCCCATTTAGAGACCACAATAGCCGTGCTTCATTTGTTCCTCTCGAGATGAGCATGCTTAAATTCTATCCATATTTTTTATTGTTTCTAAATGAGGTTAAGGGGGAAGAGTGTGGTTGGCGGTTGTGTTCTGTTACTGTTAACTAAGACGGACTTTATTACAAGTTTTTACGTTTTCATCCATAGCACATAGAAAATATTAAAGTCACGAGTAAAAATAAATATGAGTCATTCTATCAACTTGTAGGATTATGCCAAATGATGCTCTCCAGTAAAGTCCTTATCAGTCCATCTTATTTTTATCAACATCCGAGACTTAACGGAAATGCAACTTTTGGAGTTCCGCTGTCCGCGTTAATTTTTTTTTTTTTTTTTTTCTTTCTGTAACCAAAACTGGGCACGAGACAATTTTCCCGTCTCCAATATAGAAGTGCAAAGATGAGAAACAGAACTACATTTTTGCATTTCGTTTTGTGTAGTTGTGAAACAGTACTAGGTAATGTTCTGCCTACGCTAATGTGTTCATACTTAGTTTGATCATTTAGAATTATGGCGACATGCTTCAACGCCATAGTAATTTCAGGCTGTTATTGAATGACGTGACTATAACGTGTACAAAAATAAATTGTACTGATAATACCATATCCAAGTTACAAGAGAAATGTATGCATTATTTGTGGGCTTGTTGGTATTGAATACATTGTAACTAGATGATACATTATACCCTGAAGATGGCCATAGTGTTGAAATATGTCGCCATGATTCTGAATTCCCGCCGTGAAAACCACAGTCGGTGCTGGAGTTTAATCCTCGAAGCTCCTCTTCATGGATTAATTTCAGCCTATTAAAAGTGCACATAGAGTGTGCTTGTACGGGTTTAGCGTGATGTTGATCTCATAGTGTTCGTTGAGCGATGCTAGAATCGGATCCGGAAAATGTGGCGCCTGGCGGTGAGTTATACGTACAGTTCCAATCGGAGGTTGGGGAGTGACAGTTGCGTTTAACGTTGTCATTGGATGCAGTACAACAAATCAACTACTTTTGTTGTTAAATGTCGTTTCGTTTTTATTTTTATCTTGGCGAAATAGTGTTGTAATGTAGTTTGGATTAAACTGGGTCCGAATAGGGACCAGTGACGGGCTGTTGTGATCGCGGTAATGACCCTGTAACCGTCCTTTCACTCCAAACTCTCCATCAGGACGCCCGGCTGGTTACAAGGGGTTTTCTGTTGGGTTGCGTTTTTGTAGCTCAGGTGCATGGACTCTTGCCTTCAAGGAATATACAGTAAAACCTCTCTAACTTGGACACTTGCTGTTTCACGATAATGTGTCCAACTTACAGAGGTGTCCAAGATAGAGGGAAAGGGGAAGATCATCCTTCAAAATTGTGGTGTAATGACAATGTGGTAATTGTAAAGTATTATGAAGCCCTTCACAAAAAGGAAATTATTGATAAGAAAAATCAAAAGGGTAAATTAAATTTTTACAAATTTTGTTTTCAGTAAATTAAACTTGCATGGATAAGCTCAAAGGGAAGGGCACCAATATTTTACGTTTACCGACAATGCGATGTATTTACTTACATAATCTAACTACTGTAGGCTTGCTTGAATGAAGAATTAATGACAATAATAATCTTTTTTAAACCCACTGTCATGGTTGCAATGTTCAGAATGTATTTTTGTAATTGTACTTACGGCATTAGCTCAACATATGATGTCACTTATTTCTTGTAAAAAAAAGTCTGTCACAAGACACTGCTTTTTTGCTTTTATCTTGGAATTTTCCATCCTCTTTCTAATTTTCACCGCAATCCAAATAAAGTTTCAACCATTCCTCGTTGAATATGAGCGAACACATACCGTTCCAATTTCTGTTAACACTGTTTAACTCAGTTGCAAGCACAGTACTGACAAAGTTAAAACTCCAGTGAGGTGTTTAACAAAAGAATAACTATACACTTTCACTGCATTCCAGTGATGTGCTCAATGTCTCACACCCTCAACCATAAGCAAATCCTCAGGTAGAAGGCATTCATCAGTCAGAAATTCAAAACAACAAAATACTAACTGTAAACGTTTCCCATAAAAGCATCGAAGTTAAGTGCATGAACCTGTCCAACTTACAACAAAAAGGGGTGACCAAGTTCCAGGATAAGGGGGTGTCCAAGATGTAGGGTATTGTGAATATGTAAAATTATAGGATATTCGCCGGTTCCAATTAAAAGTGTCCAATATAGAGAGGTGTCCAACTAGAGGGGTTTTACTGTACGTGGTGGCGAAGAAGGGTTCCCGGAGCAAGGTGCGAGGCGGTGGAATACGAAAGGATGTTGTCCCGTAAATAACTATATTGGTTGGGTTTGTTCGGGCACTTTTATTCTTTCCTTCCTCTCCTGTTCGAGTGCAGGACTACCAGCGGTCGAGACTGACGCGTAAGTGATTTTTGGAAGCCCCTTGCTGGACACACACCGCGTTCAGCAAGACTCCCCCAAGACTTTTTAATCTGAAGAGAGTGTTCTCATTGGCTGAGTGGTTCATCACTCGAACCTTACAAATTTGCCGCCGATAGGTCATTTTAAACCCATTGGTGGTTAATGACGTGATTTATCCTAAGTCTTCTAACGGCTAGAACACATCTGGAAGAGCTTACTCATCCCACCAAGTCGAGCCACCGATCATAAAATCACCCATTCATCTAGTCACGTAGCTGGCGCCAGGCAGTCGTCCGGTGGAACAAACAAGTCCCCCCCCCCCAAGATGTGGCCCGAACTAGCGATACTAACCATCAACTCCGGAAAATTCAATACAATTTGATTATAAATTTCGATTAAGGAAGGCGCTACCGAAACAAAACTAACTTAAGTCCCTTTCCTTGCATATAAACTGGAGTAATCGCCAAAAGTCCAGTCTAAGTCTATCTCGAGAATCGAACTCCGAGTGGGCTGTCACAACCCTTAGGGTTCCATAAAAAGCAGTGAATTTCTTTGCTGCTTGAGATTATGAAGAAGGGCTCTGCTCTATACAGTTAGTTGTTCCAAGATCCGCATTTTTGTTTATAATTGCGTTTATCCAGGTGAATTATGGTCTTTCCGGGCATATTGTCAATTGTGTGGCAACAGGTAATGTGTCGTTACCTCCTCGAGATATGTGAAACAGCACACTGTCACGTGCCACATTTCGTACGTCTGACAGTGCCTTGCAGTTACGGAACGCATGCAATGTGTAGTAATGTGTTGTGTACACGAGTGGAGGAGGACAGGCTACTAAGGTACCTGTGGCCATACGTGTGGTCAGCTTGGTTTCTAGTCGGTTCAGTACGAAGGGATGGGGCTGCAGTTACTCTTTCTCCGTGTATATAGTGTAGGACAAGGTTAATGATGTCAAAAGTTAACCCCTTTCCCTCCATCCTCTGTAGCTGTTCTCTGTTCACCGTAGTTTCCCAACTTTAACCCCACCCCCACCCCTTTTCTCCTCCGCCCCCCTACTTCGCACCCATCTAGCTCATTTCACATCTCTTCATCTCTACTACCACTGCTGCTTCTCCCTAATTAGGACCGAATATTTAATCTGATGCCATTCAAGTTCATTATGATAAGCCGTGTTTAATTGCTAATTCATGAACCAATGTCGTCCTTCTATATAGGGCTATGCATATGTATAGGGCTGGAAACCAGCTAATGTTTTTGGTTTTATTAGCGCTGTTGAAAAACGGAGATGGTTCGAGTGGCTTATTATTAAGCTGTTGCGATGCTTTTCGTTTTTAAACAGAACAATTACGCTTAGATGGCTGTCTTCCTGGTTTGTAGCGCCGTGTAGTCTGTCAGAAGCTTGCAGGCGTTTCAGAGGTCCTTGCTGCCTCCGTCAACAGGGCGATGCTACACGGTGCAACAACTCAGAAGACAGCCACCTTCATACTCGCCGTCTTGAAATCCTCAAATACTAATTAGAAGTAGGTTAAGTTTGAAATTTGCTTGCACTTAAGATATTCTCACTCTGTTTTTATTTCGATACTTTTGATTTGTGACACGTTTTATATTTTAGACGAAGAATTCAAATATTATAATATTTATGTTTATGGTACTGTTTTATAACATCTGTAGTTTAAAGTACAGATGTTGTAATCGTGTAATGAAATTCGAGATCGCAACAGCTACACTAACCTGTATGTTCACAAGGAAAAGGTTTTGTACATCACGATGTTTAACATGCTTGATTTATGTTGCGATATGCCAGATTCCCAGGTCCTCATAAACAGAAAGAAATAATAAGCATTCTATACTTTTAGTGGTTTGGCCACAGTTGTATAATAGCTGTGGCGATTATGGTTCTGAGGTCTGGTTACGAAAATACGATAAAAAAACCAGGAGCCAAAGAGAATAAACGCAGTGTACGAAATACAAAACGTTATATTTCTTGCCCATCACTGTGGAACCCCCACCCCCACCCCTTTTCTCCTCCGCCCCCCTACTTCGCACCCATCTAGCTCATTTCACATCTCTTCATCTCTACTACCACTGCTGCTTCTCCCTAATTAGGACCGAATATTTAATCTGATGCCATTCAAGTTCATTATGATAAGCCGTGTTTAATTGCTAATTCATGAACCAATGTCGTCCTTCTATATAGGGCTATGCATATGTATAGGGCTGGAAACCAGCTAATGTTTTTGGTTTTATTAGCGCTGTTGAAAAACGGAGATGGTTCGAGTGGCTTATTATTAAGCTGTTGCGATGCTTTTCGTTTTTAAACAGAACAATTACGCTTAGATGGCTGTCTTCCTGGTTTGTAGCGCCGTGTAGTCTGTCAGAAGCTTGCAGGCGTTTCAGAGGTCCTTGCTGCCTCCGTCAACAGGGCGATGCTACACGGTGCAACAACTCAGAAGACAGCCACCTTCATACTCGCCGTCTTGAAATCCTCAAATACTAATTAGAAGTAGGTTAAGTTTGAAATTTGCTTGCACTTAAGATATTCTCACTCTGTTTTTATTTCGATACTTTTGATTTGTGACACGTTTTATATTTTAGACGAAGAATTCAAATATTATAATATTTATGTTTATGGTACTGTTTTATAACATCTGTAGTTTAAAGTACAGATGTTGTAATCGTGTAATGAAATTCGAGATCGCAACAGCTACACTAACCTGTATGTTCACAAGGAAAAGGTTTTGTACATCACGATGTTTAACATGCTTGATTTATGTTGCGATATGCCAGATTCCCAGGTCCTCATAAACAGAAAGAAATAATAAGCATTCTATACTTTTAGTGGTTTGGCCACAGTTGTATAATAGCTGTGGCGATTATGGTTCTGAGGTCTGGTTACGAAAATACGATAAAAAAACCAGGAGCCAAAGAGAATAAACGCAGTGTACGAAATACAAAACGTTATATTTCTTGCCCATCACTGTGGAAAACGAAAAAAGAAAAGCTTTGAGTGGAATGTCGTGGGAAAATATATATCGAAGGAATTATTTTAAAAATGTATATTTCGTAGTGTAATTGTAAGTATTCCTTTATATGGATTTGAAATTTGGCCGTTGACTTAAAAATTGAATAGCAAGTGAAATGCAAACAAAATATTCTTAAGAAAACCTGAACTACGGAGACCAGTTGGATAACCTAGACACATGTGGAAATAAATTATTAGACTGGGGGTGCTATTGTGAAAGTGGTCATGAACTTTTGGTTTCTATAAAAGTCGGGGAGTTCGTGACTAGCTGAGTGACGCTTAGCTTCTCAATAAAGACTCTTTTCCATTGGTTAGTTTGGGTAGTGATAGTAGGCCGTCTTATTGATTGTGACTTGAATTATGTAACGGCACTCTTTTAGCTGGACAGGGAACTTCATAGCGTCGAATGAGGTTATGTATAGTGAGTAAGAAACGTCTTGACGTGGTTCAAGGTACTGACCCAACATTTTGACGGAAAGACTTGAGGATAGCCACGAAAGAAATCGCAGGATAACGGATAAGTGAGCCGAGCTTCAAACTGGATAATCAGAAATTCATACCTGGGTCGCTGGCGCTACACTAATCTTCCTTGTAGATAATGACAGTTGTTCAGTTTAAGTTCATACATTTTATGACAGCGCTGAACGGCTTTCCTCCAAGGTGAGTGACACTGTAAATCTTGCGCTCATCCTCCATCTTGAACCGCACAGAGGCTAGCTATTCCAGAAATAGGGGAGTCTGACCTACTGGGAGTGGAATGTTAAGGTTGTCTGCGACTGGGGCTGACGAATTGCACACTCAGAAGCATCTTTGATGTTTCTTAATTGATTGAATACTGCCTTCAGATTTAGCAAGAGCAGATGGCGCACAAAACGTGGACTCAGTTCTACATTTTGAAACTATTTGAGTTTCAGTCTTTCTGCGTAATGATCTTAATGATTTGTCTTCTCCAACGCACCTGTGTGCTTGGAATCTTTACAAGGAGCCTTTGTCTAAATTCTGGAGGACTCGGAGCTTTTCCACAGTTGAAATTTTATTGGTTAATCATATTTGGCATCGTCCCACAAAACGTCTGAGCCTACGCATTTATTGTTCGTGTGCTAGAATTAAAAAAGACTAAGACGTAGAAGTGAATACAAATGTCGTACTTTCTGCCTGGTTTTTTGTAATATCAGTGAAAGTAAATACCGCTGTTAACTTGATTCGTAATTAAAATTATGTAAACTACCTTGAAAAGATAAAAATAAATTAAATCTTTTGTTTTGTTAATATTAAATTTAGACGCAAACTGTTAAATTTGCTATGTATGGTCCAAATGAGGGGTGTGCTGCTTCATCTAACCAGTTTATTAACCCAATAACGGTTGTACTAGTCGTATTTCAAGTTTATCCTGTACCACATCTTGTTTGCTAGGAGAATAAAATCGGCTTTGTAGATGTGTGCAACACAAAGTCATGACTTTATCAACCAAGTCAGTTCTCCCCGCATCAATGCATAATTCAAAACCGGATACCTTTCTCGTGGGAAGAACGAGAAGAACCCATTTCCGAACCCACGTTAAAAGGAATTTTTAGGCCCCGGAACAAGCCCCGCCCCTAGTTTTGTAAAGGGTATGTTGACTAACTCTGTATAATTGATAAAGTTGACACAGCGGTTCAACGGAACAAGAAACAGAAATCGAGCGAAATTTTGTTTCGAAATTCCCTTGCTTTCTGAGGGCCCTTTTGATTTTTGCCTTTCATGCAAAGTATTTTATGCTTTGCCGCCCCTATTTAGGATACAAGTCGGAAGGTCAGCAAATGTTCTTCGGAGTTCGTAAATAATATGTCTGCCTTTCTGTCAAGCTGTGTTAAATAATGCATTTTTCTTCCATGCTGGTTTTGTAGGCTTAAAAAAAGTAACTTTCTTCATGCACGTGAACATTAGGGTGTTTTGTAATATTATGTAACTTGTGATTACTGTCATCTGTAGTTCCGCTGACATTTTGCAGGAAATGATTAACACTAGAATGTTTTCTAAGTTTTTATGAGTATCGTGCACCAAATAGATATACGTACGTAAAATAATGTTTGCATGAAGAGATCAAAACCAGTTTTAGACGCCTTCAATTGGATACTTTGTATGCCGTAGTATCTTCCTTTCTGTTTCTACGATACATAAGCAAGAATGTTGTGATCTGGTTTTCTTTGAATAGTGAGGTTTAAATTAGACATGATTTTAAGATTCCTGGGGTTCTCGGTATGATGACGATTTGATGTTCGTCTTTTGGGTTGTAACGCCGTGTGGACGTATACGTAGATATACCAGCGTTTCGGAGGAACATAATGCCTCCATCTCCAGGGCTACCCTTTTCCGGATTTTCTTTACCTCAATGAAATCTTATAGGTGTATATTAACATTTTCTTCTTATTTTAATAAACTTTTACCAGAGAACTTTATCTTTTCGCTATTAGCATTTTCTGAGAATAGTAGTTGAAGCCGTAAACACCTGTAGATAAGGCCCGTCTCACACGTATGTGATAATCGTTGCCTGTCAACATGGCGCTATATGAGTCGTTATTGTTTTCTTGCTGAGTTTTAGTGCACCTTTCCAGAGAAGTGAGTTAGTCTCTGCAAATTCGATTATCGGCTATACTCTTACGACTTTATGATTTGTAACTATTTGTTTACCGAGCATTGCTTCTGTTTTCTTGGAATAATGACTGATTCCTTGTTTATTGGAGAGGCTTGTTGGAAGACTCGGCAGGCTGCCGTGCAGAAATACAGTGGCCGACATAAAAATGTCTCCCAGTCGTTTCCTCCACAACAATATCACAGTTGATGTACCTGAACTTAATATATCAACTTCGCCATTGTATTTATTGGTCTTGTCACATGCATGACAGAGTGATAAGTGCATACAAGATTTTAATCGGATATCCTGAAGGAAGAGATTTGGAAATGAGAAGATGGCATTACGATGGATGCTATAGGCCTATAGATTGTGAAGATCCAAGACTGACTTAAGTTAACCAAAAATATATTCAGCGGCGTTCTGTGATATTTGCAGTCTTAGACCTTCGATTCTGCTATCAGAGCATTACTTACATAGTTAGAACTCAGTTCTTGTCCATGCTTTTATTTCCATTCTAAAAATAATTAGAACCTGATGAAAGGACGTGTGAATTTCATTTTTAAAGTGACCCACACGAACGACGGCGTCCGAGTTTTGGACGCTTCTGCCCTTCGGAGAGTTGGTATATAAAGTATGCAGTCACTTCAAACGTGAAGCAGACGCCATTCGCGTGTGTGTATGTATATATATATATGTTATCTGTTTGTTGCGGTCAGTATAGTGCTTACAGATTTACAAACCACGCATGGTTTTCTGGATGCACTTGTGTGTAATTTTTGAGTTGTGTTCTCAGAGCTCCTGAAGTCAACTTCATGTGCTTGAAAAAAATATGTGATTTTTATGTTCATGTTGGTAGTGTTTTTTAAAAAGATTTTAAATGTATGACGTGTTCTTTTTCTTTTCTATTTTAGCAGCAACAGCAGCAGGGGCTACAGCAGCTCTTGGTAAGTTTTCAATTTCTGTTTTTAAAACCACATCGCGTGATTTTGCTCAGTTATGCAAAGAAGTCTTTGCTTGTAGCTTTAAGTTTAAATCGGTCTGTGATTGCTAGTTTCAGTTTAAATAAACAGGCAGTAGGGGGGGGGGGGATCCCCAGTACGTGTGCGGTGAGCCCTGGTTAAATAATTTGGAAAACATTGACGCATGTAGGCTGTAAGGCAAGGGTTCTCGGGGGGGGGGTGATCCCCAGTACGTGTGCGGTGAGCCCTGGTTAAATAATTTGGAAAACATTGACGCATGTAGGCTGTAAGGCAAGGGTTCTCAGCCACGTACTTTTTTGTGGTATTGTGTCACCTTGGATAATGCGAAAATTACAAAGGCTAATATCTGTTCCGGAATAAACAGTTATGCAGGGCATAGCGACTGTATCGAGATGTCGAAGGATCGTCACTGACACTTGGTGCTACCACATTGTCACTGATGCTGCTGATGGATTCTGTATAATAGTTCATGCAATTATGAGAATAACGTATGTGGCATGCATACGAATACTGTTTAATAGTGAGAGGCAAGTTAATTTTGCGTACTTTTGGCAGGCAGGAGATACAGAGACATAGAGATAGACAGAGAAACCATAGGCCGAGTGATGTTTTAGAATTAAAGGATTCTGAACACAAAATATCCCGCTTAATATATTATGATTATTTTCGGAAGGATTCTCAACGGATTTGAACTAATGAACATTAATACAAAATGTGTTACTTTAATATGTACTAGATATGTATGTACCTGTTTTATCAGTTATAATTCTGCAATTAGAAGTCCCACCCTGCCTTCTCCCCCTCGACGTATACACACTAAACACGAGATTATGGGACGCTGGCAGGTTATGATTTATCCCTGCAGTGATGGGAAAGACAAGGGCTTATCATCAGCTGGAATTTCGCAATTCGTCCCTGACAGCTTGTGATATCGCTGTCTGAATAAGACTGTACAGTACAGGAGTGGCTGAGAACTAACATGGATGCGTATTTATATTCATATTTTGGTCGACTGTGTCTTGAATTAGAACTAGGTGACTCGTTAATATATTTTTCATGATTACCATTCAACTATTGATGTCCTTAAAAACCCTGGAGCCAACCAAAGTAAGTATAGACTCGTGACCAAAAAGTCCGTGTTCATTCCGCAGAAAACGACTGCCGTCACCTCTCTAACCACTGTCATGCAGTCCCAGGGTTTTACATTCTAAGGTTTTTGTTTGACGGATCTTATAAAATGGAAAATATACTTACAGTTGTAAAACCACTCAGTGTTGAAGTATGAACTTTCCCAGGACGCAGATGCTAATGAATTTTCCTTCAAATTATTATGAAGATGTGTGGATGGCAGGGTAGTTTGTGAAAGTGTGAAGTGTGTTGGTCGCTGTTACTGGACACTGAAACCTGTCAGGATGGCAAAAAGCAGGTGTGCTGCCAACTTTTTTCTTGTTCTTATTTTAATCAGACTTCGACATTCGGCGATATTTTTACTCATATTCCACTAACTTGCACCGGCTTCTTGTTTCGGCCCACGGAATATCGTCTTCCGAAGAAATAAAATGCAATGTCAGCCACTGATATGCTACAGAATATCAAAGAAACCTTTGCCCTGATCTCGCTGCCTGTTTGCTAAAAACTAAATTCGTAGACCAAAACTCTCGTTTCAAATGTTTTCTTGGGGTAGAGTCGTCTTCACGATTTGTGATTTTAATAACTTCTTTTTGTTGGCATGGCCATTGAAAGTTGCTATTAGAGGCACCCCACAAACTCATGAAAAACCTTGTCAGAATCAAGGATTCTTCCTGAACTGGAAGAGAAATGATTAAATATTTTTCTACCATGATTTTTGTATTTAAAGCCCCATTGTCTCCTTACTTTTTATCTCACCTCTGCTTAGAAGGCTTTTATTGTTGTTCTGCTGAACAAAAACAGGTTCTTTCTGACACTGCATCTCGGATAATTAGGTAAATCCCAGTTTTTTCTGCCCGGAGACCGCGTATCTTGACATAATTTTCAGTCATTCCAGGTCAGTGCCGGGATAGTGTCCTAAATTAGGTCACTACCACCTTCTTCCATATCCTTGCCAAGTAATTCATTAGTCATCCTACTCTATACAATGTGGGCTACTGACAGCGTCATTAAAGAAACAACAAATAAATAAAAACTAGTTGTGTTCCGGAAGCGGTGTTCAATAATATATGTATGTTTTGCATACAGATGTCTGAATTGGTGCAGTTTTATTGTGCTAAATATACCAGTTTGGACATTAATGCCTTCAGTCGTCTCTTTGTGCCTATAAATTGTCGAAAATTTGAAAATTTGCCCATGAGCTCCCGGCCATTGCATTATTGACACATTGTAATTCTGAATTGAATAACTGGCAGCTGAATTTTACACAGAGATGGCCTGTTTTTTGTGTATGGCAGTTACAGGTCTCTGCGTTGTTGACATATTTTAATATGAAATTGTTATTTCACCGGCCGTCCATAGAAATGCCGCGTCATTCTTATAGTTGCGGCGAAGAGAATATGTTGCCATGGTCATTATGTTTTAGGAATTTAAGTTTGTGCAAAGCCGAAAGTTGAAACATCGAAATGTAGGTTTGGCAGAACCGATTCAAATACATATTTCTTCATTACCCTCGGTTTTCTTTACTTCGTCTTGCCTATTCCAGTGTTTTCTATGAACTTTGTGCAAAAGGCATATAATCCCGAAGAATGCGCGTGCTATCGACATCACCACAACTGTCCAATTCTCGTAATTTTCTCTTTCTGTGACAAAAATGTGGTGTTACAACATACGCTGGCACTAGAGGCTGAGCATTCATATCGGCCGTGTTAGCGTGGCTCCGCCCCTGACTAAAAGAAATTATCGTCGGTGGCGTCACGATCTAAATTATTTTGTTTTTTACTCTGTTTCATAGATTTCCCCAGGAAAGACTAATTGGATGTGCAAAGCTATGTGTGAAGAGGGGCGAGTGTGCATTGCGAATTACATTCAGTTCATCTGTTGGAAACAGTATCGCCATGACTACGGCGTGGACAGATCAAATACGTAGGAAAACATATCACTCGTACCATCGTTTTGTTATTTTTTGCGTGGCTATGTAGTTCCATTTCATAAGTAAACAAACATCGATGGCAGGCTTTTGGTGCGTGGGAGATGTGTGCGTGTATAGTCGCAAACAATGCCATATAATTGACGTTTTTTGTAATGTGCACTGCAATGTCAACAGTTACAGTAATTCAAAACAGAAGTGTCCGCAGGTGTTTCTTTCCCAGAACCGTTGCTGAAGTTCATCATGTGTTTCGTGTTTATTTCCGGTCAGGTTTCAAGCTTCCTATGATAATCTACATCCTCTCAAAATACAGGGGTGTATATTGTACGTTTCGTAGCGTTTTCGATTACGGACCGGCAGTTTGAAACACGACCTACACGTGAGTCATTTCCCCAGTACCCGCCCATTTTCCCTTTTATCTGTTTTTGGTCAGATATGTTAATGGTTTGTCTCATTTCATTCATTTACATCTTTTTCGAACCTACGAGAGCGACTCTGATCCTGTTAACCACAGAGTTCATCTTGAGAAGATCACAGTTCGTCTAGTAAAATTTCCGTCTTTTAAGAGATCAAAAGTGTTACTTCTATGAAGAAGATTGTCTTTTGGGATGCGCCGTGTGGTCTGGTAAGTTGGCGGATGTTTTAGAGGTGTTTGCTGCCACCATCATCAGGCAGTAAGTAAGCCACACGCGAGGAATTGATTTCAGATGTGGGAACCGGTCAGACAAGGTAGACTCTTGGCCAGACCAGTGGGGAAAATGGTGAGGATCGGTTGATAACAAGGGAGTCAATGAATGTCGGTAACTTTTACCTGACTGCATGGCTTAACATCCCAGAAGACAGTCATCTAAATACTTACCACCATTAGAATCTCAAATCTCACCTTTCATAATTGCGTTCACAAGATTTCACCCCTGATCGATCTTGCATTATCACACCCTACTTCTTTATAATCTGCTTGATTGTTTCAGGGAAATCCGTGTTTATAGTTGATGTATTTTAAATCCTGTAGCCCCTTACTAGAAATGCGGTGCAAAAGCATACTTGTGCCTTCCTGTGTGCTTAATGGGTAGAATAATTCTTTGTGTAAAATAATTAAGATATGTAAAAAATAAGATGGTTGTTTCTGGGTTGTTGTGCTTTGTAGTCTGGTAGAAGTTTACCGACATTTCAGGCACCTTTGAAACGTCGATGCAACAGCTCAGAAGACAGCCATTTTCTTTTGTATTCCAGGTTAAGTTAACATCCCGGCAAAACTTTCATTTTGTCGGTCTGTTTTACATTTAATTGGGTTTAATCTGAAGGTTCTGTAGGTTTTATGTATCTGATGTAACAAGATGTTTAGGAAGACGTAAAGAAAGTGTAATGGTTTTATTTTCTGATACCCGTTACAAACAAACTAGGCCTGTCTCTAAGAAGGAAGACAGTTTGGTTCATATTTCATTGTAGGAATCCTGATGAATATTCCATGTTCTCGTTCATTCCATCTTTGGTGGTTATTTATGTGGTAGGATTTATGATGAAATGTTCTACACACTTCAGAAATATATTTAAAAAATTTGTCTTTGTTTTAAAATACCATAGATTTTTTTATTATTTGTATTTGAATCTTGTTCTCTGGTGTTCAAATGTGTATAAAAGCTTACAAATAATGCAAATTTAGCAGAATTGTAACTATTTTAACAAAGGATTGACTAGAAGTTCTCCTAACAGATTACAGGTATCAAATATTTGTGTTGGAGACAATGTGGTCATCATTTAACAAAGACCGTGGAACTGGTTAGTTGACATTGATGTCAAAAGCAATTCATTTTGTTAAAATACGTAGCTAAACATTAATTGCAAGCTGTGGCATTCTTATAAATCACTGTCCAGTGACATTTTTTGAAGGGGGAGGTACAGTACACATACTAAGTGAAAATTTTAATGCAAATATATGCATTTGCAGTAGAATGAAAATTATAAATATATACACAGAGTGGACAATGTGCAACTTTGTACTGCCTCGACGGAACAGAACTGTTTTTATTATTTTTTTCGTGCAACATTTATCTTTGTGGCCTATGTGAAATATTGTATTTCTGCATGACAAAAATTAAATTAGGATTTGCCACTGAAATTAAACCTACAAATTAAATTTTATATATTTTTTTTAATCTAAGAAATGTGAAGTAGATAAGAAACTGAGAAGGTTATATGACAAGGCAGGAAGTTCATGATTTATACAGTTCAGTTAATGCCGTGTCCCTGCAAATACTCCTAAGGTTAGAAAATGAGAAATGCCTACAGAATTTTAATGTGTAAGTTTCTTGGAAAGCAGTCCCATTTAAGGAGTTGTAGAGGAGAAATTGAACTGATTTCTAGAAAAGAAGATTATGTGGAAGTGAACTGGATTTAAGTGCCTGGGGATAATGTGTAATGGTGGGGTTAGATAATAGCATTGTTCTCACCATTAGTCCCACCCCAGTAATGTCTTATTTTTACATTGTGGCAATTGCATTTGTGAGTAATAGAATGTCACCTGTGGGTGGTAACAGTTCATTACAACACTGTCAAAAGCTGGTGGAATTAGTTGAGTGATGTCATCAATGAAAAGAAATTCATAAGATTGGTTTCCCATAGTTAAGGATGTCTTGTTACACAAATTGCAGCAACAGATTCATGCACAGCAGTTACCTCACGCCGCACACGGACCGTCTTTACCTATGGCTCCTCATCCTGGCCTTCCTGGCATGGGCCCAGGTGGTCTTCTAGCATTTGGAGGTGGTCTGGGGGCTGGTGCAGTTCCTGGGGCAGCTTCTGCTCCTCTCGCTGCAGCGGCGGCGGCGGCAGCAGCAGCCCAACAACAGCACCCGCTTCTTAAACCTGCTGACCTACACAACCCTCGTGACCCCAGTGATATCAAAGGCCCCAGCTCTTTACCAGAGGAAAGGCTGGTAAGTAAAAGGAAGGAATATAATTTTGAAGATTTCTGTCTTCATCGCCCTGATGACGGAGGCAGTATGACCTCAGAAACGTTGGTAAACTTCTACCATACTACACAGCGCAACAACCCAGAAGACAGAAATCTTCATACTCACCGCTTCACCCAAGTTTGTCTCACAAATTGTCCTGAGTGAGATATCCCTATCAAAATGGTGCGAGTTTTTTGTTGTTATACATGCACCCATTATCTTATGGATTCGCATAGGCTAAACAAAAATAGTGAAACTGTTGGCTTGCTGAGAGGTGCATACCATAACATGCTATACAACCATTTATTCTAATATATTAAGTCTAATCATGAGAACTTTTAAAAGTAATAAATGGTCTCTTATGATTAATTTCATTTGAGTATTCTTAAAAGTTTATTCTTGGACACCGTATCTTATGTTCTCCCATCGGTATTATGAATCGTATTTAATATCCATTCATTACAATAGTTTTAGTGTAATATTTACTTTTTTGCAATGGTGACAATTTCAAGGTGATAAAAAGTGTTAAGTGAATGTGAGCATGTATTTCCTTAATTGATTCATCTTGAAATATCATCGTGCACTTTATTGGTTGTTATTATCTTTCTGTACTTGAACTTCAGCTAATTACAGTTCTAACTGCTGAGACATGTTCTGTGCACATTTTCCGATTACACTCCACGCGCGCCAGATATTATTGTATTTAGTATTAATTCTAAATTTAATTATTGAAAAGGAAGCAGATATCATCTGTATATGTTTAAATAAATGCATGACGGTATTTTATTGATTAGCAATAACAATTATCCCTCTTTATTTTGTTCTCACTGTAAATTAGCGATTGAGACTAATGCATATAGAGGAGCTTAAATTGCATGTTTGACGATGATGGAAGAGCAAGTTTGCTGTTTGTAGGTGGATCATCTGTTCCAGCAATATAAACAGAAGGTTTACCTTTCTAATTTGGTTGCATTTGTTGTTTGATTATTGCGGATTACAACTTCTTTAGCATTTCTATTAGTATTATTATGTCAGTTTAAAAACCTTTGTCACCATTAGTACATTTGTATTAGCAGCGGTGTTATTAAAAGAACAGCGTAACTCTCGTTACACATTTGTGACCCGGTGTTGATTAGGGGAACATACTAGTGCAGATCATACTCAGTGAAATAATTTTCTTTTACATATAATCACAATTGACATATTTTTTGTATGAATATAAACAAAAATTAGTTGCCATCTGGGTATTTCAGATGAGTTTCAACCTTTAACTCCATCCACTAAATATGGGCCTGAATCGTACACTCATACTGTCAAGCATTTGGGGATAACAGGACATATCACACCTCATCTGTAAAAATTATTTACAACCTAAATATTTAGTTACAGATATAAAAACTTACTCAGATAAATGATTATTGGGTGGCTCTGTTTAGGTCACTAATATTCTGTTTCAGTAATAATTAATAATTCTTGGATTTTTAGGCGTGTTTATTGAATTGTTGTTGTTACGAGCAGCAGCTGCTGATTACAGTGTTCATGTTGTCTAAAGTGTTATCACTCACACACAGAAGATAAGCTGTAATCCTGCTCAAACCATAGACATCTGTCTCCATCTTTCAGTGTTGCAGTATCCTGTGTAGGTAGATTCCTTATGTTAAGCTCATCACTTATGAAAGGAGTCGTACCATATGTAGAAACAGATTTATAATTTCAGAAGCCGAAGATTACTAGTACTACTATTGTTACTGCTACTATCATCATTAGTTCTAGCACTCAGATGTGGTTGAGGGAGAGAGTGTTTATTAAGGTTCTTATTTTTAATTGCCCTCCACACACGCACGCACGCACATGCACAGAACTTAATGTAAGTCAAGTTTTTCTGAATTTACCTTCTGATATTACATGATTTTTTCCTTTTGCATATATGTATATTTATTATTATGTTCATGTGACTTTACAGTACAGATAGCCCTCGATTTACGCCGGGATGCGTTCCTGGACGAACCGACGTAAACGGAATCGGCGTAATTTGAAACTCTTTTATAATGTAAATCAACGGGAAGTCAATGACATGCATTCCCAGCACCCAAACATTGACGAGTAATATAATGGCATTACATTTAAAGCTCTGAAATAACGTAAATAAAGTAAAGGGAATTTAAAAAATATATTTTATGCACTTACAATCGGCAATTCGTAGGCCCCCGCGATTGACTGCGATTCTTTCATGTGATTGATGTGTACAGTCATCTCAGCTGTTATGCGATAGTTGCATTCATGTAAGACGCCGACCTATAGAAAATCGCGTAGTAAAAATAACCCCGGTACCTCCGTAGAGATTAAATTATTCTTTGAAAAGT